GGCCTCCCCTCCCCCCCCCCTGCCCCAAGTACTTACCAGCTCCGAGTCCGTCTGCAGCTCCCTACTACAGCTACCAGGGACTGCCTGAATCATCAAAGCTCTCCAAATCTTTTCCAAAGGTTCAGAGAGCTCTGAATCGATTCGGACCTTTTAACTGGTCCCCTGATTTGATTCAGATTCGGAGATTCAGCCACATAATCGGGCCGAATCTCCTCCAAATCAAATCACCACTCGAAGCTTCGCACAGCCCTAGTCACTATGTGTTACTGGCAAATGATCTTTTTTAACTCTTCCAGATATAAAAATGATTAAATTATTTTCAATTTAGGAAATAATTAAGACTTCAGTTAAAGAAAATCGGATCACAATTTACTTTTTTTTTTTCATATTTCACATTAGAAAGCCACCCAAACTTAAAATCACTTTGCAGAGCAGATATTGACAGATCTCGAAACACAGGAATTATTTATTATACTTCAAACTTAGAAAGGCAGAAAAGAAGGCATATATCTTAAGGCTTGTAGTAAGGGACAATAAAGACAACAAACTTTGTAATTTTTTATAATCTAGCAAGGGTATGCACCAAAAATAATCCCAGTAAGATGCTTAACAGTATTATACCAATTAAAATATATATATAGAAATAAATAAGTTGTACAATTTTGATTTTGTAGTACTCCAGTACAGGAAAAAATATTCCATTATTTTTGTAGCGCTTCGAAATTGGTTTGTGCTCTTTCATTTCCTGCAATAACTCCATAGCAGCAACAGAGCCACATCCCTACTGCATGATTAATAATACCATTGCACAAGAAGGAAATAAACCAAATGGAGGCTTAGCATCTTTTGCTGCATAAGGAAATACAACATATATCCATTTGCCAGATGGACATAAGGACATTCTGAACTGAGAACGTTAAAAGAGCAAAACTTATTAAATATAGATAACATAGCATCTTTACACTGCATTCTTCACAACAGAATAAAAAGTGTAATATTCCTTGAAAAGAATAGAGGATGGATATAACTGATAAGTGTTGTAATAACAAATATTCCTTGTAATAGAGGGGCTATTGTAGTAATGAATATTTTACTTCTTTTATGGCAGTGATGCTCAACATTTTGGCCGGTGGGATGGATGACAGGTATGCAGTGGTCCACAGGCTGGACCCATTTCCTGGGCTTCACCTGATGCACTCAGCCAAGACCTGATCCAGTGCACAGAACTGGCCTAGCTAGAGCTCAATCTGGCACAGGGGACCAACCCAGCATAGTCCCAGCCCCATGCACCAGACTGGGCCCCAGCCCTGTGTTCTGGATTAGGCCTAGCACCAGAAAACACCTGTGGCCCAGAAATTTGGCAGCAAGGGAGCAGTGACAATGTTAATTACCACTGCTCATCCACTGCCAAATTTTTGGATCCATAGGAAACCCTTTGGGTGGATGACATGGCTCTGCAGGCTGAATCTGGTCCATGGGCCAGAGGCTGAGTATTACTGTTCTGTAGTAACAGAAGGAGAAGGATGACCTAGTGTTTAAGGTGTTAGACTGAGACATGAGAAAGTAGGGTTCAATTCCCTACCCTACCTCGCATGGCCTGTGAGATCTTAGACAAATCATTTGGCTTGTTTGTGCCTCAATTTCCCATTTCTAAGATGGGAAGAACAGTATATCTCTACCTCAGATGGCTGCACCACTTAAAAGACTGTGAAGCATTCAGATACTGTTGATATGGGATGAGATTATTCATCCTTTCAGTTAAATGTCATTAATAAGTAGATGTGCAGCAGTAAGAACGACTTGTTATTGCAATACATTCCAAATAATTAACTACAAATCACAAAAATCTCTGATTCCCAACATACTGGGCATGTCTACATGAGCTGCCCACTGCACACTTGTTACTGCATAGTCATTTAGTACTTGCATAACCAAGTACTAAATGACTGTGCAGTAATGACATTACCATGTAGTAATGTCCCAGCACAGTTGCCTAGTGACACTTACTATGCAGTAACTCATTACTAGTACACAGTAGAATCACACCACAGTTCATGCCCAGTGATGCTACTGTGCAGTAGTAACAAGCTACTGCCCAGTAAGCAACTCATGTAGATGCAGCCACTGTCTAAATAAGTTGCCTCAATGTTATTCAAGCTTTTCCAGACCTAAAAGATATGCAATCTAATTAAAGCTCTTATAAGGTGCCCTTTACTGTAGAATCTAGATCACAAATTGAATAAAACAGAAAGTAATTTTCTCTGGCAAGGTAACTTGTCCATCCCTCTGTGGTATTCAGGTATTCACACAGCAAATGGAATCCGCACTTTTAAATACTTACTATCTAAAAAAGAAAAATGTATGGCATGATTATTTACCGGCTTGAGTTTCAGAGTTTAACCTGCAAATTTCTTGTTCATTCACAGCAAAATGACTAACATGATAGCATATATGAAGACTCTTGACCCACTGTTAAAGCCAATACACTTCAATGACTGCAAGAAATAGTCTCACTTCATAAATAATTTCAACATATTAAAATAATCCTGATATCTTGCTATAAATGAAGATGTACTAAGGAGTGCCTCAAGCAAACAGCACTTTATGAATGCTCTACCTGTAACACAGTTGGGGGGTTTTAAATCTCCCTCCCAACCTTATGTACAGATATAGACTCACACATGGGAATCTTCCCAGTGTGCAGATTACATCTTTGCTTTGTATTACTCATTTTCTAACTATCACCGTGAGTCATTTCCAAATTTTTGTGGTCCATCAGTTCTGAACATAAAACATACAGGATGCAACGAGTGAGGCCTATCCGTTTAAACAACATTTAAAACCACTCTGGACTTACTGATGGGAAAAAGGTATTTTTAAGTGCATTGAGCAAACTGCAACTGTATCCTACTTTGATGTTACTTTCCAATCTTTACTAATGACAATTTTCTGT